GCTGCCTTCGCCGCGGCCTCCTTGGTGGCCAGCTCCGACTTCGCCTTCGCAGCGGCCTTGTTCATCACTGACCGGCGATCCATTACAAAATCTACACAACAAAGCAACAAGTTAGCAAAGTAAAAGAACAAAACAAAACGAGGACGCCGTAGGAAGTATTACCATCAGCTTCGGCAGGGACGCCCAGATCGGGGTCGTCGGCCTCCTCGAAGGTAGTGGTCATCTTCGGCCACAGTTGGACGTCATCCTCCTTGTCACCATACACGAAGTATCTAAAGAAGCCGATAGCGGTCATCTTGTACTCCGTGATGTAATCCTTCACGCTCCTCGGCCCCCCTTCGAGGAACGCCTCCACCTGAGCATCTAGGATCGAACTCTTCGGCGGGTCATGAAGATTGAACCTCCCATCATGGCCGATTGAGGGGAATTCAGTGCCACCCTCGCCCAGGGACACGAAGACAAATTTGCTCTTCCAACCATGTATGGATGAAGGCAAGTCCGTGAAAGTCCTTTTCTTCGGCAGCTGCTGCAGAGTGGCGTAGCAGGCGCAATTTTTATGGCTCCCTCGGCCAATCTGATAAAGGTTCATGAATAGGGTCGTTGTCGTCCTGTAACCTAATTCAGCACAGCGGAGGAGGAACCCCACCATCAACGAGTAGCTGTTAGGGGTCAGCAAGGCCGGAGGGAGCCCCACCATGTCCAAGTATTCCTTGATGAAGGGGTGAAGGGGAAACCTTAGCCCCTTGGCAAAGCTCATCGGATACACTCCGAAGTATCCCGGCAACGGATTGAGCACGTGGTCCGTCGGCCTAGGCGCCCTAACCCTCCCAAACGGCCCCACGTACATCTGTGCGACCAAATAATCAGCAGCGCTGCTCTCCGGCTTGATAAGGAAAATGTTGGTAAGGTCCAGATAAGAGAAACTCGGGCCCTTCTTCGGCCGCCTATTCCTCTTCAGCCGCGGTACCCCCTTCACAGCAGACACCGGCTTCGGGCACAGAATGGTAGTAGAGGCAGACGCCCCGTCCATTACGCGGGAGACCCCCGCATCCTCACCCTCAGATGACGAGGCATGCCCTTCGTCCTCGTCCTCCTCGTCCACATTATCTCCAGACTTATACGGGCTCAAGTGTTCAATCTCCTCGGCACACTCTTCGATCACGTCGTAGTCAAGAGACTTGACGGAGGTCTCATCGTCATACGGGTAATACTCCTCGTTCAAGGTTTTCATCTTAACAACTCCTAAGGCACTAAGGGGATCTACTTTAGATCTAAAGTGTTTTTGTGACTAACACTGGATCAAAGCCTAGAGGGAGCAAAATATGTAAGAGATCGAAGAAAAGATTAAGGAACTGACCTTGAAGTTTTGAAGGAGGTGAAGAACACTCAGCAAAAGGCTTTATCTCTCTAGAATTTTGGGCAGCACTTCATTTGCTCGGGATGTAAATGAAGGTTTTCTTCGGAATGGGGAGGGTATTTATAGCCCCCCTCCCAACGGTAACTACACGTGGCATTACCTTAGTGGCCACACCAACGGCCACCAATGGGATGCCACCACTCTGTCAATGAGCCAAACCCCCTCCATAGATCAGCGGCCCACCAGCAAAGCAGGCTCTACGGAGCAAGGAAGGGAAAATGGCACCCACAACGGCCAACACAGCGAACGGCCACCCACGTTGCACCCATGTCGGCCATTTAAGCGGCCATGCATATTACACAAAGGAAGGTTTTACAACGGCCACAATACCCCAAGGGAAAGAAACCCAACAGATATGAGGCCCTCAGGCTAAACCCTTGATGATAACCCTTTGAAAGCGACTTGCGTCCAAGGGTTCTCCCACAGGGTTACCTTGGTCGGGAAATCGCCAAAGGGTTGGATCCAAGGACAACATGAGGATCCCGCTTCGGCCTAGTGATAAGTCCGTATTTAGACACGCATTTGATGCATGTTCAGGTTGGATTTTGATGATTTTCCTAACTTTAAGGTGTTGCAAGTCTCAATTTTAGCTCAAGTTGTGATTACCAGGCATTGAGTCGAGTTTTGTTGCATTTTGAGTCAAATTGGAGAAGTTAGAGTCCGGCAATCGGCGTTTGAGAGACAATCGGGAGGAGCTAGAGAGCAATCAAGAAAGATTTGAAAGATTTGGATGAAGTTTTGATGAAGTAAGAGCATTTGGATTGACCCCAGTTGCATGCGGGAGCGTTGGGGCAAGAAAACAAGAAAAAGAAGAAAAAAAGTGGACGCACGGTCGTGCGTCTGGTACGCACGATCGTGCGTCGGATACGAAATCACGAAGAATTCTCTGCCTGCTACGCACGATCGTGCGTAGTCAGGTACGCACGATCGTGCGTAACCCCGAGTTAGGCGTGGTCGTTTCCCACATCGACCAGAATTCTGATTTTTCTCCTCTTTTCTTTAAATAAGGCCTCTCTAACCCTTTTTAGGGGTGGTGAACATTACGGAGAGGCCTAGGGACGAATTTATCACCGTTTTTACGCTATTTTCTTCCAAGATCCTGGGATTATTTGTAAGTTCATCTTTTTAATTAATGACAATTTAATCTATTCTTCCCAATTCTGTTGATTCTTCAATTATGAATTGTGAGTAGTTTAATTAGGGATTTGGGATTGATGAAGGGGTTAATCACGATGTATGGTTAGGTTCTTGATGGTGTAATTTGCATGAATGCCGTTTAATTTGTGTTTGAATAATTTAACTGATATCTTTTGTAACCTGGAATCTCGACTAGAATTACAATTGCACATAGAATAAATTAAGAGAGATCTAGTTTATTCTAGGACACATTCACACACACTTAATCGTTGGCTAAGAGATTAGTAGCGATTAAGGGGCCGTAAGCTCGCTCGTTTTGGCAATAATTTAGAATCTTGTCGCATGAGAGATCTGTCTGGTCCCCTAAATTATTGTACTCTACGTCGTGAGAGCGGCAAGAACTTAGTATTGATTATCTAGGCTCAATTAAATTAATTTCATGTAATTAGACCTGATCTGCCAGAAATCTGATTACCCCGGAATCAATCCCTGCTCCCTTCGTCGTTAATTAGAGAGAACCCAATCTTTTATTTTAATCGTTCATTCGCATTAGTTTAATTTTAATTCAACCAACCAATCTCGCACGACGCATTTATTTTATTCCTTTTTTTTATCGCTGAATTTAATTAATCCTTGATTCCCTTTTGTCCGTCCCTGTGGAGACGATACTCGTACTTTCACCGCTATTCTACAATCTTTTAAAGTGCGAGAAAACTCACATCACCTAGTTTCCAAGCTACTCCTTCACCCCTCATTCACTCTTCGACCTGAAGCAGTGGGGGACTGGGGGACTACACCGGCCTCAAGAATGGCAGGCAAAATGAGAAATAAACACACACAAAGTACACAGTTGCAACTACAAGCACGACCACATCGTCCATGTAGCACAACGGTCCCAAGGTCCTTATAACTTCACCTCCGGCCAGACACTGCTATCGTCCCCAAAAACCTTGGGCAATATGGCGCCTTGTCGCCCAAAGGCACATGGTGTCATCAGCAGCGGCCAAAAGGGGTGCATAACACCCTTACCGGCCATCCAGAACAAAGGACGCTCATCGTCCTCAAAACAAAACGCAACCTCAACGGCCTTGTCGGCCCAAAAGGAAAGTTCAACCATCAATGATCAAGAATAGACACTACCTTCCTCGGCCAAGAATCCCGGAACACTCATCGTCCACAAACCAGCACACCAAAGGAATGACAGCCTTCCTCGTCCATATCAAGGGGCAGGCAACGACCAAACCCAGAACAGGGCCACCAACGCCATGACAGATAACGGCCAACGTGGTCCCACATCGGCCAAGAGCATCAAGCACAGAAATCTGCTCTCCTTCACTTCGTCTACGTCTCAGCTTAGAGAGTGGGGGACTCCTGATGGAGTATATGGATCTAGGCCCCAAGACCCACATACTCAGAAGAACAAAAAGCGCAAGCTGCCAAGCGGTGCCCTCGTCGGCCAGAGGACCCCCGTCGGCCGAAGAGGGACCAACCCAGAATATGGTCCTGAAGCCAGGGAACTTGGGTGTCCCCGTCGGCCGTGCCCTCATCGGCCGTGCCCTCATCGGCCGTGCCCTCATCGGCCGTGCCCTCGTCGGCCACGAAAGCCTCACAGAACTAGAGTTTACACTTAATCATTTCTACACACATTGTATTCGGCCCAATAGCGGTCCAGTTGTAAATGGGCCTCCCAAGCCCAAAGCTTGGGAGCCCAGCCCGTATTTTTCCTATAAATACTTCCTCTGGAGGTAGTTATAGGGGTTACAAAATCATTCTATTGAAGCATTTACTTGCACTTCTCTCTCTAGCTCTCACTTCTCTCTAGATATATACTCTATCAATAATATATATATATATATATATATTTGAATATATATATATATATATATATATATATATATATATATATATATATATATATATATGAGATCAAATACAAACCATGTTTAAACTACTAACCTACAAACTTAATAATATACATCACTTTGAACTTCAATATGCAGTAAAAATAATGTAAAGATGCAGGGGTGAGATCAAATACAAACTAGTCCTCCCATTCAAATCATCTTTACATTATTTGTATTGCAAATTGAAGTTCAAAGTATTTCATATTATTCAAGTCATAAAATAGCAGTTTCATATTTACATTATTTGTGTTGCATATTGAAATTCAAAGAGTGCATCTTTACATTATTTGCACTGCATATTGAAGTTCAAAGTGTTGCATATTATTGAGTTTGTAGGTTAGTAAGTTAAGCATGATTTATATGTGATCTCACCCATACACACACTATAAGGAGTTACATTTGATGGTATATAGAGTTACATTTTTTATAGGTTATTATAGGTTTTGAATTTTTGATAAATGCAACCTAACAAGTTATAATATACTCAATGGATGTTAATTGCAAAGTGAATAAATGTTTATTCAATTCGAAAGAAATCATTATGAGTAAAAGTCATTTTAGTTTCGCTGTAGTTTTATGTAATGGTATCTTAAATTGTAATTACAACATTGTTATTATTAACACATAGAAAATGATAACACATGTCCCTGTAACTCTTTTTACCTCCTAACCGCTATTCCCAGAGAGTTATTTTTACATCAAGCATCAACAAAACAGCTAACACAAGTAGAGAGGGCAAGTGCCAGATTCAAGACTTCATCAGCCGCTCCATGACCAACTTCACAACGTCGGGAGCATCGACGGTAACCGCCACTTTGACCGATGGTATGCCAGACCAATCAGTTACTTCCGCAAACCTTGTAAGTTATTTTCTTAGGAGATTAAATAAGCACATTTGATTTTTTTTTAGAAATAACATAAATTAGAGTTTGTAAGATAATTTCTTGAATGATAACTCATCCTTCCCATATTAATGCATACATCAATAGCACAGTTGGTGGGTAAAAATTGGTTGTAAGTTGAACATAGTTTTTCTAATAAATTAAATGCATGTAATAATAACAAACCATGCATAATCTAGAGTGTTAAATGATCATTTGTGTCTATTCCAGCTAAAAGGAAAACTAGGACTACTATATATATAGTCAAACAGTTTAGTTAATGTAGTAAAATAAGTGACAGAAAACCTTGTCAAATAGAAAAAATTGTAGGAAGTAAACAGATAATTAAAAATGAATAGTAACGGCACCTTAGACTAATAAGTGACTGGTATTTATAGGATGAAAAGATTCAAAGAAAATGCAATCACCTTTTCTGTTTGTTGTAAAACAGTGTGAGACCCCGAGTAATGCCACTGGTTTGGACTCGAACAACTCCTTCCGTGTAGGTGAACAGTGAAGGATCAACAGCAAGAACCATGGTTGTTGGATCATGAAGGTATACACCTATATTCCCATATATATTATATAAATAATAATTACAGATACCCAATATAGTAACCGAATTTCAAAACATTTAACAGACACGCATATCTTCCTCCTGTGATTAATTACATAGGGACCAACTAACTAACCTTTTATGTTGTAGGCATCATGGTGATAAGCGAAATACACATCCAAAATCTTGTTTATGTATTTAGCAAACTTTCCATTTGACTCTGCCAGCTTATGGCGATCCGCGTCTGAAATATAAAAAACTGTTAAACTTTGAATTGCAGAGTAATGCATATTCTTCTGACATGGCAAAGAAAGTTCAGAAAATGCAGTGACAATCAGGAACAAATACCTGTAAGAACAACCTGATGTGTGACATTTATACCGACAGCCACAATATCTGCACCGCTTGTGAAGACTGTATCTGCTGCCTCCGGATCTCCATAAATCTTTTGCAAATCAAAGGCAAAAAAAGAAACCAAATCGATAGGAGGTTTAGTCATAAAAGTTCAAACTAATAGGGTGGATAATATAAGGTTTTGAGCATTGTATTGAAAAATGAAGTTTCCCCCTAAAAGTTCACACATAAGGATCCGGGATGACAAAAACAGTGTTTGTGAGATCTTTTTGAAATCATTTTTCTGTTTTTTTTTTTTTTGCTTTAGAAATGCTAAAACTAGTGTTATTAAATTGGTGCTTCTGTTTATATTTAGACACTTTAAAGCTGTAAGAGGGGTGTTTAAAAAGTTTTTATTTTCAAATTTTCTACTACGGTATAATATTTTACATGTAATAAACTAATCAGTGCCTTTTTACTAAATACTCTAACTTACTTTATTTTTTTAAACATGCCCAGCTTTTACTATTAACCACTTCCTCTAAAATCTCTAAAAGAAATCCTTTCTCCACAAGCATATGCAAACATTGCCTTAAGATGATAAACATCTAAGAAACTTACATTTGCTTCGGATGCTGGATTCACATTTCCATTTACTGCGAACGCACCACCAAGAACAACAATTTGGCCAACGTTTTTAACAAATGCTGAATCTTTTTGGATAGCCTGTCCAGAGTTGTAGATTAAATACACATTATATTTTTAATTTTTGTGGTATAGATGAGCAGCAGTAAGGCCAAGGGACGAACCAGTGCAATGTTTGTCAAAGGGCCTAATGCCACAACAGTGACTTTTCCTGGGTAAAGCTGTGTTTGGTGGATAAGAAAATCAGCAGCATTCTGCTCAATGGGCTTTCTTTCTGGTGTGGGAATATTTTGGTTCCCAAGTCCATCCGTACCATGAACAAAATCCGCAATTCTAAGCTTCGTACCATTCTTCACATGTAAAAATATTTCAGCCACAAAAAAGTATACACTAAACATTATTGTTTCTGGAGAGGATTAGGGAAGAGTTCAAAGAGGGTATAATTATCTCAAATTTGTCCCCAGTGAAACCGAGGATGAGATAACTTGACGGTATAACATGGGATAAATTAAATGTTCTTTGAACCTCTCCCTTACCCTCCCCTGCCCATATCATTGTGCTTAATCAAAGAAAATAACTATAATAATGGAATCCATAAAGGAAAGTGCAAAAAAGTTGGTAAACTTGAAAAGCATCTGTTTCAGGATTCATTGTTTCCCTTAGGTCTTCATATCATATACGTAGTATAATGTAACTCCTTTCTTGGCTATTCATGAACATATCAAGCTATAAAACAAGCACAATAAACACTATGATGAAACAAAGGAAATGAAGTGGAACATACAGTAACTGTGACATGAGACCCTTCAGCCACTGGAATGTCTGTCCTCCCAGCTACCTCCAGCTGGATCATCAAGATCCATATGTCAATTTTTTTTAAGTAATAAACAAGCTGAAGAGTCAAAACTGCAATGCACATATATGTGATGAAGATCACAATCCCAAGATTAACTAAGAAGAGAACAAAGTTTAGTAGATAGTTGGACTTCGGTTCAAATGCATAAATGGTACCTTAACTATTGGTAATGTTGTATTTTGGTACCTGAACTCTAAAATGAATCAAAATGGTACCTTAATTATAAATAAATGTTTCAAATTGAATTTTTATTCAAATTTCCGACCAAAAATCACGCGTTGCAGCCGGAATTCTATGCGAAAGTCTACTTCACCTTAGTTTTGTCCATATGATCACTATAGGGTGACTCTACACATGGAATTTTGATCTTCGTGAAGGATTTTTTGGTCAGAAATTTGAATAAAATCTCAAATCGAAATATTTATGTATAGTAAAGGTACAGTTTTGATTCATTTAAGTGTTAAGGTACCAAAATGCAATATTACCAATAGTTAAGGTACCATTTATGCATTTGACCCGTTGCACTTCATATTTACTATAGTTCCACCCTAAGAAGAAGCGGAAGGAGTAGCCATATACTCGGGGTCCCGCAAAATAGTTCTCAGTTTGACTTGGAACGGAGTTCAAGAAAGTGAGAATGAAGTGGAGATGTATGATTGTGGTTGAGTAAGAAAAAAGGTAAATGAATGTTAGCCCCACAAAACTTTCTAAAAAGGGAAATGTGAACAATTTTTTGAGATGACCCAAAAAGTAAAGTTTACTGAATTCCTCTTCTAGACCTTTCATTCTTTCAAGTGTGTCACACTGTGGCTATGAACTGAACTCGCTCTTATACCATATCAAAACATGAGGTTCCATCCGGATGAAAGACTCCATATTTTTTGGCTTGAGAATATGATTGAATAAAACAAAATAGCTCATTAAATTGTTTGCAGTTTCTTGATATAAAGAAGCAATCAGTCCATACAATTTTGGACACATTTTTTATTATGCGTCATCCAGAAAGAATCTATCTGATTTAGTGCATGGGTAATGTTATTGTTCTTGTTGTTCCATTCTGATCAAGGAACGGTTGATGTCTTACATGTTGGTTTACTAGTTCATATTTAAAGGATATGTTGGTTTTCGAGTGATGGTTTGACTTAAAAGCTCTAAGATGATAGTTGGACTTTCATATTAATGATTTATATATGTAAATAGGTGTGAGAGATGTTAGTGATTACCAAATGTAAGGCATTTCTGGTGGCAAGAGAAGTGTGAACATTGCCATAAATGGTAGTTAGGCCAATCACATTCACCTCTGGAGATTGCAGGGCCAGAAATATTGCCATGGCATCATCTTCATCACAGAGATTTACCGTTAGTAAATAAACCTTCAAGAAATCTATTTCTGAAAGAGAGAGTGACCGCCCCAAATAAAAGCGACAATGAACCAAACAGAAGAACAAAAGATGGAAAGGTTGAGTGAGAGACAAAAGAATACCGATGCCGGGATCAGTGTCAATGATCACTTTCTTGGGTTCATTCGCCATTTCAATCATCAGAGCTTCTGAAGAAGACGACTGACTTTGGAGATCTCACGGAGGATAAAGCGGTTGGAGCCCAGCTCTGCACTTGCATTACGGTTCAGTACTTCCGGATGAACCAAATTAATTAGTCAATTCTATTGGTCCCACTAAAATTACTACGGAGCATTCCCTTCTAGTGATGGACCCCGGCTGGGCCCGAGCGGGCTTTTTTTGCAAATCCTTGGGCCCGGAACCGGCCCGAGTTGATACCGGGTCCGGGCCTAACCGGGCCGGGTCCGGTTCAATGTCTAATTTTTTTTTGCTTTCTTGTTATCCCCCTCACCCCCCCTCACCCCCACCCCACAAACCTCCCCAAAACACCCAGCCCTACCCTAGGAAAAGAAAAAAAAATTGAAAAAACAAAAATTGACCGGGGCCCAGCCCGAACCGCCCGGGCCGGTTCGCCCAAAACTAGGCCCGAGCCCGGCCCGCCCGACCCGCCCAAACAGGCTAAAAGCCCGGAACCAGCCAACTGGTCCCGATCTGGTCCGGGCCCGCACAGTAGTGGGCTGGGCCGGTTCCGGGCCGGGCCGGGCCTGCCCGCTTTAGTCCATCCCTACTCCATTCCCATTAAAATCCTCTGTTTTAGCAATACCAAACTTCAAACATGTCACTATTTTTCTAAACATGACAGTAATTAGTCATATTTTAGGAATAAAAAACATGAAAGTCCTATTTTGGAATTTTGAAACTCTTTTAGTCCTATTTCGAGAACTTTCCCCTTTTTTTGTGCCAAAAGTATGAATCCTAAGAGCCCGTTTGGTAACACCGAATATGACTGAATTGGCTGATTTGCTTAAATTTATGAAGTTCTGGCTGAAGTGGATGTATTGGCTTATTCTGTTGGTTTGTGAAAAAAAAATTATTTAAAATATTTGTTATTAATAAATAAAATAAAAAATTATATGGATATATAACTAAAATGATCATCTACAGTAACTTCAACCAATACAGCCAGAAAAGTAACTCCAACTTTATTTTTTCTTATTATTACACAATTCAGTGCGCGAAATAAAAAGTTAGCTAGGAAACTCTCACAAAGTGTAGCTTTCTGTTGGAAATTGATATAAACTTTTCAAAACCTCTCCAAACACTTACTACGTATTTATCTAATCTGGTTTAAATTGGTATATTTAAGCAAATTAAGCCTGACGTTTAGACCTAAATGTATTATGATATGTATACAGTGACGGATCCACCAAGGGTCCCACAAGGTCCCGGGACCCCATGAACTTTCAAAAAAATACCTATATACGAAGTATATTATATGTATTTTATATAAATTAATAATACAATGTATATGTAAGGCGAAAGCTAATTGACAACATGAAGTTGGCATTGGAGCAATGAAAGCGTGCTTGAATTTAAAAGTATCCACTTCACGGAGGTGCAGAGGTTGATTCCCTTAGGCATCACTTTTTGTTTTCCCTCTATTTATTAGGGAAAACAACTTTTTTTGGCAAGGGATAACAACACAAATAGTACTAACACTAATACATAGCAATTCTTTACTAAAACATTAGTCATTTACAGAGTAATTCATAAAAAAACTGGTATCAAAATATAAAGTTAGTAAGCGTATTTTCGAATATTATTTATTGGTTCGATATTAGTTTTAATGTCTTAAATTAGTGGATTTTTTTAAAAAAGTGACCCCATTTTATTTTTGTTCTACACTCCATTTTAAAAAGTGACTCTATTTCTAAATTATGTATTATTATTGGTTCATCGAAGATAGTTTATATTATTTAAAGTTATTTTCCCTATTTATTATTTTAAGGTGTCATAAATAACCGTTCGTAGTACTATAATTATAGGATGTTATTTTTCTATCTATGACATAAATATTATTTTTCTAAATGAACGGTTATTAATTTTCTAAATGAACGGTTATTAATTTTCTAAATGAACGGTTATTTATGTCACTTCATTTTCTAAACGATCTTAGTTTTATATTAATTAGAGATTATAGATATAAAAGGGTAGGGACCCCGTGACTCTGATTTTCTGGGTCCGCCACTGCATGTATATTTAACTAATTTAAGCCAGGTTAAATTTTATCTAGTTAGATTTGGGTATAATCATATGTAATTTGGATTGATATTGAAATACGTCAGTTCTTTGAAGTTTTATATAAATACTACGTATTTTCGTCCATTTTTATTTAGTCATCTTTGAATTTTTTAGTCAAAGATATATGATAAACTTTGATCAATTATTTTAACTAATATATTTACGTAAAATTTAATAATTCTATATTTTGATGATAGTATTTTTGACAAAGAACACTTTCATATCATTTTTATATATATTATCAATAATACTTATGTGAAAAAATATAGTTGGTCAAAATTAAAAACCACTGGTTTGAAAAGTCAAATTTAACTAAATAAAAACATATGGAGTGAATATTAAATAATTATTTGTGAGGGTAGGGTGCTCATTGACCTTTCAGAAGTGTTGCAGATAGGGAAATTATTGAGTTATCAATTAACTCGTTCTTTCATCAATCCACTATAATTGTCGTCATTTTTATCATTTTAGTCAATTTTATAGGGAGGCTCACACCATGACTATGAATTGGTTTTACCTATATACCATATTAAGACTTGGAGTTACATTTTAAAATGTTTTTTTTTTTGTAGATGGACTACTGTGAGATCTTAAGATAATTATTTATTATCTTACATTTTATTGATGTAAGAAACATTTCACATATAATACAACAATGTGTACACATATGGCATGCAAAAATTAAACACAAAAACGGTATATATATAATAAGTACTAAATATTCCTCTTATTTATCTATTAATTTTATAAAATTTCAACAAAATATTTGTACAATTTGACAGTTTCAATCTATAATATCAAGCAAAGTATATGCCTAGTTGATCTCGACACGATATTGTGAAGAAAAATTCATCAAATGGTCAAGAATTAATCGTGAAACAAAATGAGAGGAAATTATCCATTATTTTTTGTTTTTATCTTTTATTACTGTGACAACAGATATTCAATTAGAGATTTTTCTTAAAATATTACTAATAGAAAATCTATAAAAAAATGTGACTATAAATTATTATAAATAAGTTTTATAGTAACTACGATGCAACATTTGAATAAAATTACTAGAGCAATATATTTGCCCATTATTTTTGTTTTGATTATAAATTGAGAATTCCTTAAATAGGAGTAAAAAAATTTTGAAATTCCAAAATAGGAGTATCATGTTTTTCATTCCTTGAATAGGAATAAATTTCTGCCAAGTTTGGCATTACTAGGCTTTAAAACATGACATTTTTTTTCAAACTTGGCAGATTACTCTTATTCAGAAAATAAAAAACATGACACTCATATTTTAGAATTTCAAAATATTTTTGCTCCAGTAATTTCTATTATAAATTTGGAATTATTTCATTCATCAAGACATATGGATATAATTGCATTCACATACTCTACCTGTCATCACTTTGACTTCCGAGCTAGCTAACTACTCCGTATTAAAAAAGCAGTGAAAACGGGCATGACGTGTAATGGCTGTTTGCCCCTTTCTTCCAACGATAAGATTTCCAGATAAACACATTATTTTTGGTTATTTGGGAAACTGCCACTCTCCCGTATGCATTCCTTGTTAAGGAAACTTTCCCAAAATGGCACTAAACATTTCCTTAAATAACATTAGTTTATGTTATTTGCACAACAAAGCTCTACCCCAATTAATTACACATCAATTATATATATTCTTACATATAATTAAGTTTTTAGCTGCCCGTATAAATATCCACTACCTCTGTCCCAAAAAATCATTTCCATTTAAAACAACAAATATGTGGTTAAAGTTATTTCTCTCACCTCTGCACAAATATAAATCACATAGTTACTTTATTAATCTACATGCAAGTCAAGATTGTCCATGTTTTATGGGGCGGAGGGAGTATTTGTCGGTGTGCATGTAAATGAATATTCAAGCCATGTCAAAGTTAGACCCGGTCCTAAGCCTCACTTCACTTCTCCAAGTCCTTACATATATGGTGGTCTTTATATAGGCAACACAAAAACAAGGTAATTAATTTAAGGTAGATTCTATGCTACGCATTACGTACCATACATGTATCCACATGGCATGAATCAATCAAAATATTGTACGTAGTTGAATTATTTAAATGAAATATAATAGTGATATTACGTCTTCAACCAATTAATGATAGGCACGACACCAAATTTTTTAATTGGGTATCGTAGTTCTCACCTTAATTTAACACAAGGTTCTGAATGTATGCCTTATTATTTCTCTAGGGATGTCTTTTAATTCCCCTATATATACCAAATTCCCTATACATCAACTTCCCATATAACTTCATTTCCTTTGCCCGTTGCTTACTGACTGGGCCGAACCCGCCCGCATTCTTGAGCAAAAATTAAAAAAAAAAATCACGGCACGTTCAATCAGTGTCGGACTTAGATTTTTTCTCAAGCGGGGGCACTGCTGCATAGAGGGAGACATGTCAGGTCGGTGTGTGAGACTAATCTTTTATGTCTAGTCTGTGCGTTTAGACAATTTTTTTAAACGGAAGTAGGTTATTCAATATCAGTTTGAAGCATGTACATATATGTATTATAGGTCTAATTTTCAACCCATTAACACAATCATAAACAATAATATTCAATATTGTTGAAAGAAAAACATGATATGGATTATAACTGAATTATCCTTGCATCATTTCTATTTTTGGATTAGAATTCAAGTTATTCTTTTACTACAAATAGTTAGAATTTCCATTCAAAACTATGATCGTGTTCAACGTTACACATCTTGCCACAAAATTACGTGTCAAAAAGTGAAGTATAATGATGATGATGATGATGAGTACTTCTTCCATGTTGAGAACGTTTACTCTGTTCTTAATTAACAAAAATATATCGACATCTTTCACGAAATCTTCTAATCCATTTTCTCTCAAAACTTGAAATTTACCTTTTGTGTTTTAATCAAAATCACAATCTCGGGAATATCTCGACCTTTTATTTTAAGAAATA